CGAAGATCATTAGTCCATACATCACTTTCCTTTTGACACCTTTTTTTATGTTGTTGGAGTGTCAAATCTTGCAAGCGCCCGAGCTTTTCAAATGCTGATTGAGAATTTTCGAGTTGCTGACTTGTGTGATTAGCTAGGTCGGTTTGAACCACCATATATGTATACTAAATAATAAAATTAATGTAACACAAATTCACACTAAAAGTTCACTCAACTTCACACTAAAAGTTCACTCAAATTCACACTAAAAGTTCACCCAACTTCATAAAATAATATTTCTTCAGCTTTGAATGGAATCTTCCTTTTCAAGAAAGGACGTGTTACTCAATTACTTAAGTTTATATATGTAATAGTAGCTATAGAAGTTTACGTATTTATAGTAATAGATAGTAGTTACTGATTATATATTTATTATAGAAAAACGGTTGCATGACCACAAATTTATGTCAGCCCGATCTGTCGTAAACTGTAATATCCATCTCCCATTTCTCTGTCCAAAATATACTTTAATTACACAATTCAATAATGAAAACGATAATATCAGTGATGTAATTTGTAAGAGATGCAAATCAACGACGACTGTAACGGTCTGCTTTAAACAATTAATTAATATCCTAACGCCAGTGAGCTGCCTTAAACAATCACAATATGGTATGATCTAACTACAAATTGGACGAATAATTCAATCGCGTAACAATATTTGTAAAATATCTTGTATAAATATACATCTTGTATAAATGTTACTTTTAACAATGCAATTATCCATACACTTTTCGACGGCAAATAAATAAGTGGATGGCGAGTCTGTTTACATGAAAAACATGTGCGTATTATCGTGTAATGCAGACATGACCCATTCGTACGCGGTCTTTGTCAGGGCGTCACAGAAAGATTGCAATTATTAAATTACAAATCGCCGCGTTCATCGCGCATAATGCGCTCGCGCCTCCATCCCGTATTAATTAAACAAATTGGTAGCACACCGCGTGTTTTCTGTGTTCTTCCACCGCTTTTGCATGCGAGCTCGTTTCTATTATACCCGCTCAATTGTCACAATAAACTAACCAGACATGACGTCAACGCAGTCGCAAGTGTTCAGTTCGAGTGTTTACGCAACTGTGGGAAGTACGATATTTGCAACAACATTATTCATGCACCATGGCACTGCAAGCAACTAAGTTGCATCATATAATATACAAGCAGTTTTTATAAAAAATGTTAGTAAAATATATATATATAAATAGCAGGCATCGGGTCTCCTCGAGAAATGTTGCTATCTCATTTCAGTGTGCATCCGACTTACTCGTACGCAGCGGTGCACCGCTGTTAGATATATAATGTAAATGTGATATATATGTAGAAATATAGAACATTTTTTCAAGAAACTAAAACTCGCTGTCTCATATGAGAAGCCTACCATGTAATAGAGGACTTTTCCTCATTATCCCTCCTTGTTCGAAAATATGGCGCAGGAGTTTTGTGCTGCTTGGAAATCCGAGTTCAAATTTCAATGGATACTTATTTATTTCAAAAAATTTTTGTGCACTACGACATGCTTAATTCCTGTAAGTTAGTTCATCTAAGTTTCTTTTTCGAATCTGATTTACTGTTATTAATTGTCACTAAATATTTTTTGTAGATCTTTTGCTGTAACGAGTTCAAATTGTCCCCTCTGATAGGGTCGAGAGAACCCCTAGACCCCAGAAGTAACCCCAAGACCTCACACGGAGGCAATTAGCCTTGAGAATGAAATCTTGAGATAAGAATAAATTCTTTAAATGTAAAAATAATTTTACGCGTATTCGATTAATTTTCAAGGTTTTTCACTGGCGATATAACATTTCCAATTTTGGTAAATAGAATATATTTAATTAAAGCAACGAAGCATAGCATTTCCTATGTTTCGTTGCCACAAGCAATAGGATTCACTTGAAAAGGACCAGTATTACTGGCCGAAACGTTGTGTTAATGTAATTTAAAATAAAGTTGCCAGCCTTGGTCGAACTATATTCTATTTATTTCAAGATAGTCACTTTCACGTGTGTGTCTCACGAACCATTTTTCTGTTTACTCTGTAAGTAATCTTATATTACAAGATACAGAGTAAACCAAATCTTATTATATAAGACTAGCATGCCCCGCGGCCTCACCCGCGGTCTCACGTATCTGGCTCTCACATGCTTGATAAAAAGAACCCCTTGCCATTGGTTTCGGAGATCATCGCGGACAAACACGACAAACTTTCTCTCTTTATAAATAGTAGAGATTAATAATAAGTGCCAATGAGCCACAAAATGAACGGAACTCGGTTCTCACAATACAGGAAAAAGAATTTCTCTTTAATATAAAACGTTTCGACCCTTCTTCGGGTCTTCCTCAGTAAGACTCGTGAATAAAATTTAACAAATCACTATATGGTTACAGCATCATCTACGTTAGATGAGTCCGCGGCGACGATATTGGAACGACTGTGACAGTTTTATATTAAAGAGAAATTCTTTTTCCTGTATTGTGAGAACCGAGTTCCGTTCATTTTGTGGCTCACATTGGCACTTCTCCTTCCTACATATTTCTCTTCTGAGAGCCTTCACAACCTTGGAATGTTAATAATAAGATTACTATTCACGAGACACGGTAGTGTCTCGCGCCAAGTATAAGCTAGCTAGAACCGCCCGCGCGAGACCGACCGTGTAGTTTACGCGAGTACGCGAGTTGATAGACCCACAGATTTTCGGATCTCAACAACGGCCGATCCAGCAAACTTCTGATCGCAACACCTCCACTCGTAGAGCACGTAGGAGAGACATTAATCGATTAAGATCAATGGATAGCTTGGGTCCAATTTGCATAATAAAAGTGTTTTTATTTTTCTCCTACGTGCTCTATGAGTGGAGGTAATGCGACGCCAAACATAGGACTTCTGATTTTCCCGATTTCTCATTACTTTAAGAAACGTCGTCGTCGTCAACCAAGAAGTGGTGGGGGTAATGCACTTTTTGATTTATTGACGTAACGTGGCGCTCGCGTTACAAGCGCGATCAATAGTGGTACAAAGTGAACGTGCAGCGATCGATTGTGACTGTGAATTATGATATACATACAGGGCGAGGAGAAAATACCGGGACCCCGAAATATTTCAAAAAATATAATTTTTGTAACGCTTATACATAGCAATATCAGTGTGTCCTTGAACAGCGTTGTCAAAAGTAGTGATATCAACAAATTGTGCCAAATATAACAATGGATATTTATACAAACTAATTATTTTATTAGTTTTTTATATAAAATGTTATATTTTTTTTACACAACGTGGCGCTTTCAATCGTCACTGGTGCTGCGAAATCTGATGTAACGTGCACTGAAAGACTTGTTTTGTTAAATGAAACAAGATTTAGTTGACTCAACTGAATTTCTTGTTTGGATATTGTGATTGTCGCGAAAGAACCGAAATCTCGGCCCGTAACGGGGTACCTTATCATATATGCCGGGCTATCGTGATCTCACTTACGAGTTCGGCGGCCATTTAGTGGCGGAATACCGTACTTTGAGATGGACGAATTTGTTATCTTGACCATAAAATTTCGTTCAAATAAACAACTCATGGAAACAAAATATTTAGTGGTTGTAACATTTAACTTCTTTTCAGTAACATATTGTTCGTTTTACACAACCAAATTACATGTTCAGTCAACAAAATCATTCAATCAAATTATTTCGTTTCATTCGACAAAATGGGTCTCTCAGTGTGGCGCTCGCAAGTATCTGTTAACGCGGCAAAAGACCACGTGAGTAGAATCGCAATCGATATGCGTATATGTATAAGCATTAATCTTTAGGGGAATGATAGAGGTTAAAGGATAAGCGTTACAAAAGATAAGTATTACGGCGACGACGACGACGACGATAACGACAATGGTGGTTGCGAGTGTGCCCTAGCAAGCGACGGAGGTTCGGACAACAGCAACGGAACCGAGGCCGAGTCGTTGCCCGAATCGTCGCAGAATGAAATTGCGATCGAGGAGATTTTACTCCGGTACCTCGAATATCACTGAGATTACCGGAACCGTCGTCATAGAGGTAGAATATTATGAAATATTTACTATCAAATTTGTACAAAAATATCACCTTAAAAAATAACCTTTTTAAAAAAGGTTTATTGTCTTTTTAAAAAAGATCCAAGAATTCAATCGAGAATTATATAATTTAATTAATTGAATATATTTTATTAGAAAAGAGAGAGAGAGAGAGAGTATCTTCTATACAAAAGTAACGATATCATTAAATTGCGGCAACTAAAATGGATATTTAGACAAACTATATAACTATACTTTACTATTTTTAAGTATAACTATACTTAAAATTATATATATACAGGGTGTCATTGAATATTGGGGACTTTTTTGGTGTGCAGGTAGAGCGGACTAGACCGAGTCGAAAAGTCCTGTACCATTTTGCAATTTTCGCAATAGATAACGAGTAATTAATTATTCAAAATTGTCGTCTTAGCCCGGCCCACCTCCCAATTCGAGCGTGACGGGGCTCCTGCGCATTTCTCCCGGCAAGTACGCGGATTTTTAAACGCGCGATATCCGGACAGATGGATGGTCGAGGACGACAGAGCATGGACGACAATTTTGAATAATTAATTACTTGTTATCTATTGCGAAAATTGCAAAATGGTACAACTCGGTCTAGTCCGCTCTATCTGCACACCAAAAAAGTCCCCAATATTCAATGACACCCTGTATCGTTTGGATATAATATTTTAAAATAATAAAGTATAGTTATATATATGTATATATAAAAGCATAAGATTTTACCGAAAGAAATAAAGAAGACAATGACGCTAATTCGACATTAAAAGATGGCCTTTTCTAATTTAATTGTTGAATACGTATCGGTCTTGACTCACGACATTATTGTTTATTAAAAAATTGCACTTATACTTGGAGTCTTTTTTTACCTCTTTTAAAAAGGTTAATTCTTAAGGTGATAATTACCAGCACGAATAGCGTCCATGGGGACGCTTGGATATGGAATGCTGTAGGGATATCCTTCTTTTCGTAGAGTCTTGGGTTTCCTTCGCGGTCTGTACTTGTAATCAGGGTGTTCCTTCATGTGTTGTGCGCGTAACCTTTTCGCTTGGTCGATAAACGGGCGTTTCTCGTCTTCCGTCAGGAGCTTCCATTCGGCACCTGTAACAATTTTTATACCTCTTTATACCTTTTATACATGATTAATAATAATAAGACTGCGAGTGTATATACATGTCGCGATCAAAATACACGCGTATCATTTAATATGTGGATATGCAATGTTGAATTAAAATTTTGTAATAGAAAATATTGTTAAATTCTTTTACAGTCATATATTTATGTTTCAGTTAAGCAGATAATACAATCGCTCTGCGAATGTAGTCCTGAATCTTTATATTCGAAAATTAACCGATTAGATAATTTATTCAATTTTTCTACGATTTTCTTATCGCAATTACATCCGGTATGCCTAATTAGTGTTTAACACATGCTTGATAGTTCTTAATATTCAAGAAATTAATTCTAGAAATTTGATTAAAAAATATTAAAGAAGAGACTGTTTATGACGATACGTTGAATGCCGAAATACTTGACTTTGTATTATTTTATTAAATGTGTATCAGCTGAGGAGAGAATGAAGTTATCATTCATCATAAGAGAAGCGGACGAGAAAATTTAAGCATTTTGATATGATATAAATAAACTTTAAACTAACGCATATTAATGCTATAACGATATTAACAACGTTACGATGTTACATATCGGTAGTCCATGTGTAAAATTATTATTTTAATTATCGTACATTGCCTTTTTGGTACACGGTTTACGTTTCACACGCTGCTGCGATTTACGTTCAAACGCTTTTAGGATTTCACGAGGTGGGGCCTCATTGAACGGCGGGATGGTAGGGATAAATCGCGAATCGTTTTTAACCCCTTCGCCGTTCTCCGCGTTTCCCTCCACTATGCCAACGGGCCGATTGTTTTGCACAGAATTAATTACCACTTGTTGTCGGCCGCCGAGGCGCGCACAAAGCGCGAAGCCCCGGTTCTGGCATTCTGGAAACGGAACCCGCTGGTAGCGAGGTGCGACACCGACCCCGACGCCGAGGCTGATGCAACGAGCGGGTACAATGCGCCCGGGATTTGCACTGCGACGCTGCCAACAATGGCCGCCACAGCGAGACGTCGGTGTCGCGACGCTGCGAAGCTTGCAGCTATTTACTGGAGATTGATTTCGCGGAGAAACTCGGTAGCGAGGATCGTCGTATAGAAAAAGATCGAATGCGGAAGCTGGAGTATCTGGTTCGGGTCTATTTAAATTTACGCACTTTCAATTTTATTAAACTCTAGAATACTTAGAATAAGTTTATAGTCCTTTTAACGACAAAGCTTATTCAGAAATGATCGAAGACAAGAATCGAAGGAGTGCCGATGTTAATTATCTTGGAAATAAGAATACGCGAAGGGACTTTGTTTTTATTGTCGTCAAACAAGATGGCTCAATTCGAGGTTTTAATCCGGGATTTGTTCAAGATAAACCGGTCACGAAGTCGTCAAGAGCGGCTGTTTCGTGCTCTCCAAGTTTCGCGCGAAGACTTTAATATCTTCCGAGCCTTTCCTGTCCTTTTATGTAGCTTGGTCAGGATTACCGGACACGAGGGAGAGTGAAAAAGTTACCGGAAGAAAGGAGAGAAAGCAAAGTAATATTCCGAACGACCGACAGGAGTTTTATTCAGGCGGGATAAAAATTCTCGATAGGAAATGGGGGTAGAGAAAGGAAGATGGAAAAGAGCTGACGAAACTTAAACAAAAATTTTTTCAAGAGACTCGAATAATGTGGTAAAAATTTAATTAGAGGCCAAACTTAGAAGTTACCTGCGATTCTAAAATATTATCGAATCGGTATTGCTTTCAGAAAATTGTGCGACTAAAATATCGGGGGAAAAAAAAGAAAGGAATAGAGGAGAGAAGAGGCGGAAGCAATAGAAACTGATAAGAGCGCAAGGTGCCAAGGATTCACAGCGAACCCCACAAATCCCTTGCTCCTCCCGTTGTTGTTACTGCCTGCTAACAACGGAGCACGTCGACTGTTGAACAATACGGATACGTGGTGGCGCACAATGAACCCCGAAGAAAGGTATCGACAAACGCTGGATGAGAATCCGACGTTCGTGTCTTTCGAGACAATAGCCGACTGATAGCGCAGCCCCCGTGCCGGGATCGAAACTACTACTACTACTAAACTACTATTCTTAATCAATAAAATCTCTCGATACGTATATTCTCCCCCGAATCCCTCAGATATTCGGTGTTTCTTTACTTTACTTAGATGTCATTAGTGTTGATCAATTAAAATACGTGAGTTTGCTGTAACGACTTTTTGTCATATTATTCAGAGTATTTTCGTTCGCCCGTTTAATTTAAAGGTAATCTTTTAAAAAAAAATAGAGAAAAGTAGTAAAAACAGGAATCCGTTATTTGAGAAATGGCGGCCCAAATTGACCATTCACGGACCGCGTGGATTTGCTTTCGGAATCAAAAAGTCGAGGCGACTTCCGGTCGCGCGAAGGGGGTAGCTCTACTCGCTATTTATATTATGGTTTATCCAATCGATACACGTTTTCCCGTTTGAAAGGCAGGTGGCACGGTCGAACAAGAGAGGAGAGGGGGCGGGAATAGGCGGCAGGGGTATTCGACGTATTTGTTTAGAACAAAGGCTTCCCGGTACTGATGGTATTAGTAAGTTGGTATTCGCGGGCAATACTCCTTCATCTTCTCTTTCCTTCTTTCTGATGCCGACGACTACGACGACGACGACGACGACGATGACGACGCGAACGACGACGGGGACGAGGAGCAAGCTTAAAGTACAATAGCGTCCGCTTTTCAGTCCTTTCCCCGCGGACAATGCAGTTTATTTAACATCGTTTAAAAGTACAAAGCCTGTTAATTAATGGACGACGGGGGCGGCGGGGAGGAGACAAGGAGCGGGAAGGAAGGAAAGGAAAGGGAACAGGACGGCGTGGCCGTGACGTCGCCCTCGTTTCTGTGACATGACCAATGCTGATAAACGATTCCGATAAAGAATGTCGATTAGCTTATCGATTATATTTGGAATACCTATTATGTTTTTTCCTGATCTCGAAGAATTGATTTTGGCGACCTTGTCGTAGTAACTTTTTAGTAGTTTACCCGAACTATCTGGCGTTAACATATTTCGCGTTGATTTTTGGAAGAAAAAGAATCGCGATTCGAAGTGTTGGCAACGGAAGACGGTGAGACGAAGGGGGTGGGGGGGGGGGGAGGGTGGCGATGCAGCTATTGCACCGCGGATCGATCGGCCTCTCCCTTCCAACCCTTCCCGGACTTGTCCCCGACGATGAAACGTGGAAATTGGAAAACGTTTCCTGCATTTCCTATTGGCGCGGGGGTTCGGCGACTTGGAGCTCCGAAATCGAACTTGCATCGTCAGGATTACGCGAGAAAATACGCGTTCGGTATTAAAAATATTTTGCTGAACAAAACATCATTTACAATAGGTAATATTTTTCGCAATCAATTTTCAGCATTAACCGATTAATTAATAAATGGGGCCAACTGTGGTCGAATGAAATTTGGAATTTTATTATTATACTGGCAATTTGAAGAAACTAATCGTTAAAATATTAGTTTGAGGTAGGCTTTGTGGGAGTTGGGACCGGAATCCTACTTCTGAAAAAACTGTAGGCTTGGTTTGGATGGGCGAGGGTTGAAAAAAATCAGCGAATGTGACAGATGTTCTTTAAACTCAAGTAAAGACTATTATCACCAGTGAGATATGATCAAAAGGAAATGCATGTGGTTCCGCGCGGGCCGGTTCAGGAAGGCTCTCAAGCGAGGGGGAAACCGCTGACAAAAATCTTATACACCAATGCCCACTAATGCCCAGTGGGCATTACTTTATTTTATCTTATTTTATCTTATTTTATCTTATTTTATCTTTATAATACCCCGGCAAGACTTAAAATTACGTGATACCATAGAGTGCGGTAACATGGAACAAGGGGGCAAGTTGGAACAAAACTTCCAATTTCATATTTATGCATTAAAACCGGCAACGTCTGCAAGAATTGAGCGCACATATGGGCTAAACCAAAACTAGCGTTGAACTCGAATGCTTTCTTGCAGACGTTGCCGGTTTTAATGCATAAATATGAAATTGGAAGTTTTGTTCCAACTTGCCCCCTTGTTCCATGTTACCCCACTCTACGGTAATAAAAATTTACGAATTAAAATTATATCGCGACTTAATAAAATTTAGATAAATAAAAATTATGCCACATCACGAAAATTGAAAATTAGAATTAAATGCTTTCTCCATTGTAATCCAAGATTTTATATTAAATTTTAAATCCAACGAAATTTTTATTAATTCCCGAATTTCTATTATGAATAATAATTTTAATTCCCGAAAAATTTTTATGTTATAATAAAATTAATTCAGAAATTGATATTTTGTCCACACATAATTTAAAATCTGCATTTTCAATTATATGATAGTTTAATAATAATTCGAAGAATTAAAAATGTGTTTAGACATAAGATTAATTTCTTTTCTTCCAGTATAAATTCTATTTGACATAATTTTTAAGATTATATTAACTAGCAAAATGGCGTGCCATACAAGTCAGTCTCTAGCGCTCTCTGTCTCTCTGCCGAGATCTTTGTGCTGATTCTTCTTTCTCTGTTTCTACTCGGCTGCTCACGCGTAGTGGTCGGTCCCTGTTATCGAGGCAGACAATACAGTCTTGTTCAACAAGAAAGTGACCGCCATAATCTGGAAGAAAGAAAAATTTTGATTAAATCTAGTTTTCTTTTATTGAAGTACACATTATTAGCTATTGCGCAATTATCTAATAATCTAATAATATCTTGTCTAATCACCTCTATTACTAATTTATTTTACTTTTTAAATAAGTATTACTTATTACAAAAATTGTTTGTTTCCTTGAAATAAGTTATTTAATTGCAAATAAGTTTCTTTAAATTTTTATAAATTATATATTTCTAACAAATAAAGTAAATATACATAAATAATTATAACTTCTTGTCACAATTTTGTTTTATTCCAATTAATAGCAATGGGATTAGTATATTCCATAGTTCAGTCCAACCAGG